TTAATTAATCAATAATTAACTTGCATTCCCATTTTATTAATTACAGACATATATGGGTTGCATAGAGGAATTTGCAGTCTTCCGAGATAAGCAAAGCTATCACTATGAGCTGCCATTAGATTTTTCAGAAATAGACCTTGAAAATTACTTCAATATCAACATGGCTATCATAAAAGACTCATGCATTAAATTTTATCCCTCATTTGAAATATGGGAAAACTGAGCCTCAGAAAGGTCATGTGTCTTGCCTGCCCTCACACATCTAAGGTAGTTAGTGGTTAAGTAGGCACCAGTCCCAGATTATCTATCTCCCAGTTCAGACCACTTTTCTTATGCCAGACTGCTTTTCTCCACAACCAACTTGCTCTCAATTTGTTTTAATCTTGAGAATGCTGTATTTTCAGGGTTCCACCATTTCTATGATTGCATATATTTGCAATTAGGAAGTTTTTCCATAATGTAAGTTTGGTTGATTTTATTTATTGAGGAAAATTTGGAAATTCTCCTTAAATTCTTACTTATTACCTTGCTGCTATTGAATGGACTAGTTGAAAGGGCAAGGGCTACGCCCTTCATCTTACCCTGGATCCTCCATTTTTGTGCAGCAGCCTTAGCCATGTGCTCGGCAAGGAGCTTCTTCCCAGAAGCCCAAGCCTCTGCTAGCCACACCCAGGATTTCTTTAAACTAACCAATGACAATCAAGGGACGTGGGCACCATAGAGACTCTTTGCTTTTGCATTGGACTCGGCTGGCTCCCTGGGGGTCTTTTGGGGATCCTGAAATCTGGGCATAACATTTGGGGGCTCATCCGGAATCCGAAGACCCTCAAGGGACTCCTAATCCGGGGAGTCTGACTGGCCGCGGTAGGTGTCTGTGTGTTTGTGTATTCTGTTCTGTGTTATATGTTCTGTCCTGTGTGAGCTCACGGGGGACGTGTATTCCCCCCATGAGGGATGAGTATTCCCCTCATGAGGGATGTGTATTCCCTTCATGAGGGATGTGTATTCCCCTCAAGAGGGATGAGTATTCCCCTCGAGGATCTGAGACGAGGCAGATCACTCCCTCCAGTTGGCGTAAGGCCATTGTGTAGCTTTCTGTTTGGCTTCCGCAGAGTCGGAAGATTGTTTTGGTTTTGCTTCCATGGAGTTGGAAGACTGTACTCTTGGGCCCTTTAGTTGTCTGTGTTTGTGTTTTTTTCTGTGGACTTACTGGATGGACATTATGAGACAGACTCAAACTACTCCTTTAAGCATTATGGTCATTTTAAAGTCAAGGGCTGGACCAAACCTGCTTGCCAGCCTCAGGTGTGGTTTTCCAGGGCCGCTGCGGTGAGCCTTGAAGCCTAGGGCGCGGGCCCAGGTGGAGCCACTGCAAATGCAGATCTTGGTGTTAGTAGCAAATAATTTAAAGTCCTTCTTGTAATTGAAAAGTTTTACAAAAATTAAAAATGCGTCTTGGATTTCTGTGCACGTGAAAAGAGAAAAGTGGCTTGAAACTAATGTACGCATTGTCCAATTTCAGATTAGATAGAGTTTTGAGCTAGAATCTCTTTACAAATGTACAAAATAAAACTGCAAGACTGATTATTTCCTAGGAAAGATGGCAAATTTTACCCAAAGGAAAAAAGATAATGGCTAGATTTTTAGCAGCAGGATTGGCATTTCCATAATAAAAAACAGTTTTTAAAAGTTGTTCCAAGGTAAAACAAACGAACAAACAAACAAAAACAAACAAACTGGTCCTTTGTTAATTAAGAAAGCTTTTCTTAACGGGGGAAGGGGATAGTTGCCTCCTGCCTGTAGCAAAATCTTAAAGAATGTGGTCAATTTACATCTGAAAAGACCAGGTAGGCCAGAACCTGTTTCGCAAGGCTCAAATGTGGTTTTCCAGAGCCAGAGCTGCTTGAAAGTAAAAAGTAAAGTTTACTAAATCAAATTATAAAAATTGCTCAATAATCTAATTTGCCTCATGAAAAATCTAGAGGACAGAATTGAATCTGTTGGTTGATTATGTCTTGCATTTTTGAACTTTATTCTTAAAAATATTACTGATTGAGAAATGCTGAATATTTGACTTGCTAAGCTAAAAGTTTAAGGTTCAGATTGAATTGGGAAAAATTGTGTAGTTGTGGTAGCTAAATGCCATTGCTTATTGGTCTGACAAAAACCAGTTTAAATTTAATGATATTCTTTAAGGTAATTATGAAAGATATAAACAGGTAATGAGATTTCAGTTTGTCTGCAATATAATGTTGGCCATCTTTTAGGGATTTTGGTTTGCTCTTCCCTTGTTTATTGTGAGGATGAGGAAATCATCTTTTCTGTCAGAGAACAGTTTAGACAGCCACCATTTTGGGCTGCCTAACTTGGCAGCCGTCATGTTGGCTGCATGTCTTGCTGTGCCCCTGGGGGCTGCCATCTTGAAATAGCAAAAGGCCCCTCCCTTTGATTTTGCCAAAAGGGAATGTCTGCTCACTGAGGCAGGATGGAATTTCAGGGGTGGAGCTTTAAGGCAATGTTTCACTACAGAAATGTGAATGTGGCAGAAAGTGTGCTTGCCTCACGGATTTATTTAATACTATTTTTAAGGAGAAATTTTTAATGCTTAATAAAGTTAGCAATCACGGCCTTAATTTCTTTTTTTAATATATTTCATTGATTTTTTACAGAGAGGAAGGGAGAGAGATAGTTAGAAACATCGATGAGAGAGAAACATCGATCAGCCGCCTCCTGCACACTCCCCACTGGGGATGTGTCTGCAACCCAGGTACATGCCCTTGACCGGAATCGAACCTGGGACCCCTCAGTCCGCAGGCTGACACTCTATCCACTGAGCCAAACCAGTTTCGGCAATGGTCTTAATTTCAGTGATATGATAGACCAATGTTTCTGAGCAGTTGGCTTTATAAGGGCTGACAATAGTAAATCTAGAAAACCCTGCTTTCCTTAAACTAAGGACAATTAAAGGTTATATGTTCCCTCCCTAAACAGAAGTTAAGTAGCTTATGTCAAAGTCTTTAAAAGAGACTGATAGTAGTAATATGATAACAATTATTTCAGAGAAAAAAAAAGGATTTATTCCCTTCCACTGTGTGGAAGGCCTCCTGGGGAAGGCACTCAAGCATTCTGTATTGACCTCTCTTGACCTTTTTTTGCCAAGAGGATTCCAATTGTCTACAGCTGATATCTGAGTTCTCTGTTCAAGCTGAGATCATGAAAAGCTGGTACCATGGATCTGTCTCTTGCCCAATGGTGTAAGATGGGTTCTCTCTGGAGAAGAAATCTGGGTTCCCCATGATCAATGCCAGGGCCCTGCCAGCAGGCAAGGGGATCCAAAGGCAGTTACTGGGCATGGAGGCCACAGGGGCATACGCTATGGAGACAGAACTAAACCTCACATCACTCTGCTTGGCCCCGGAGGATGGCTGGTTGGTCCATGACGGGTAAGACCCCTCAGGGAGGGGCGACCTAAGACAGGCACAGTCGCAGGGGGAGCCTCAGGGGAGAACTTAAGGGTCAACAGAGATGGAGCAGAGATCCTCCTCCCCCTCCCCCAACTATGCAGGGTCTTGAACACTCCCCCTTCTGAGGGAGGTCTCCTGCCCCCATGGCTGCTTCCCAATTCTCATGCCCAGCTCAAATCAGCA